AATTTCCCTCGAAAACACCATGAAGATTCAAACGAAAAGTAGGGTAAAAAACAGTCAATTTTTGTTTTCTTGTAAATTGAAGACAAATTGATTGATCAACTACCCGTTTTCGAAGATTAACTTTTACGACTTATAATTGTGAACATGGACACTTATGCCCTTGTAGGCTAAACGCTTTGAACAAAATGAGTACAACGAAAAAAATCTACTAAGGGTCGTTTGGTAGGGTTTCTAAAAAGTCAAAAGATGTTTCTGAGTTTAAAAAGTTTTTCTCTTCCGAATATGCTTGGATAATTTTTTGAAAATATTTTGTTTGGTTAGAAGAACTTTTAAAGAAAGCTGACTTGCATTCTTTCATAAATAGAAGTAAAAGTAGAAATCCTACCTAACCCACCCTAACAAAAGAATTAAGATAATGGTCAACTGCACTCAATTATTATTGTTATCTAATTAAGTGAAAGTGATTAGTAGTAATTTTAACAACTACTTAGTTTTCTGTGTGTTGAAGTCAAAGATAATGAGAAAGTAAAGGTTCTAATAGAATCATTAAGGTCACATTTTTTTGTCTGTTGATGTTTGAACTTTGATTTAAAGAAGACTGGAACTTATCAAAAATAAATATAAAAATATAAAGCTAGTTGAGTACATGTCACTACTCACTCATAACACCCTTCTAAATAATCATTTCCTAATTAATTACTTTAATAAATACGACTTTGAAGAACCCTTTTAGTCAAAAACGAAATCTTGAAAGTTTTTAAAAATATTTTTCAATAAATTTGGGCTCCACTTAACGTCGTAAAATCGTTCTGACCTGAGTATGAAATGAGTCTTGATATTAGACTTGCTTCAAAAGATCACATCAAAAATCGTGACACCCTTGTCAAACATGCACTAGGTAGTTGATATGAATTAGTTTGAATGAAAAATGCTTACAATTGTGGAAAACAGAGAACGTCGAGAATCGGTGGTTACCTTTTGAATCAAAATAACTACAAGTCGAGTATTAGGAAATAAACGGGGAGAAGCGATTACAAGTTTATTGTGCATAAGACTCAACTACTCATTGGTGCACTTGATAATCACTAAAACGTAATTTAAACTAATCTCTCACATCCAATTAAACTTATCCATTTACTTAATCAGCTATTTTTATCCTCTTTTACAAACAAATAAATGTGCATTATTTCCTATTTAGTGCATGTAATTTTGTTACATAATGTGACTTGCTCACTTATTTTGATTTTTTTTACTGTAAACAAATTTGGAATTTTAGCTAAAAATGTAAGGTGCAAAGTATACCATCTCATGTGATAGTCACTATCCATGTTGGATGTCTTAGTTTAAATGAAAAAAATGCACATGGGATGGAACTATTTTGTAGTCTTTAAAATTGGTTTAGGAGGAATAGGGTCACTATTAAAGTAACATTTTACGTCGATTAAAAATGTTTACATAATGAAACTTCAATACTCAATACAGAATTCAAGCCCAACAAGTTCAAATAAGCAAATTTCATTCGTCTAAAGTTCAAACAAGTGATCGAATTTTAAAATTTGTATTTTCAAATGAGCCAACATCTTAGAATAACGTGTTACATTAGTTAAAATATTCTTCATAAAGCATGTTTAGTAAAAGTTAAAATATAATTTAAGTTAGTCAAATATACTTTATATTCTTACATTTTGTATGACCCAAAATTTATTATTTCTAAATTCTATGAAATTCATTATTTAAAAACACTTAAAAATATTACCAAACAAGCATGGATTAAGACGGGACTTCGATACTATAGTCAATAGTAACCATTTGAGCACTATATGGGCTATGCACATGGTATGTGTAAAGACTGTCTAGAAGAAATTAGAATATGAAGTGGAGGCAGATTTTCGAACTTTTCAAAAAAGAGGTGGATCTTTTTTAGGCGAAGATATGCAAAACTTGTATTTCTATATTTTTTTTTTTTTTTTGAGGAAATTAGGCCCACAACTGTGAAAAATGAAAAAATCAGGTTACTACATTTAAAATAAGTTCAAATCAGGTTGCCAGTGTGGCCGTGGGTTGGCGGTGGTGGTGTGCCGGTGCTGCTTGGGTCTTGTTTGGTGGTGTGTGTGGGATGTTTTCTGTTTTTTCTGTTTTCTGTTTTATGTTTTGTTGTTTGGGTTGTAATTTGTTTTTGTCGTTTTGGTGTGTGTTGTCTTTGGCATTATTGAAGTCTAGACAATGTCCGTTTCCTTTTCAATACTCAATACAGAATTCAAGTCCAACAAGTTCAAATAAGCAATTTCATTCGTCTAAAGTTCAAACAAGTGATCGAATTTTAAAATTTGTATTTTCAAATGAGTCAAACATCTTAGAAAGACGTGTTACATTAGTTAAAATACTCTTCATAAAGCATGTTTAGTAAAAGTTAAAATATAATTTAAGTTGATCACTCTTACATTTTGTATGACCCACAATTTATTATTTCTAAATTCTATAAAATTCATTATTTAAAAACACTTAAAAATATTACCAAACAAGCATGGATTAAGACGGGACTTCGATACCATAGTCAATAGTAACCATTTGAGCACTATATGGGCTATGCACATGGTCTGTGTAAAGACTGTCTAGAAGAAATTAGAATATGAAGTGGAGGCAGATTTTCAAACTTTTCAAAAAAGAGGTGGATCTTTTTTAGGCGAAGATATGCAAAACTTGTATTTCTATTTTTTTTTTTTTTTGAGGAAATTAGGCCCACAACTGTGAAAAATGAAAAAATAAGATTACTACATTTAAAATAAGTTCAAACATCTAACAGCCATAATTAATATGCCCTAAAATTGTTCCATAAGCCCCCAAAACTAGTGATGGCAAAAAAATCTGCCCCGCCCCGTCGGGTTGGCGGGGTTGGGATCGTCGCCCCGTCTCGGGTCTCAGGGCGGAGATGCCTGGCCCCGTGAAGAATAAAAAAATAAAAAAAATTTGGATGAATGAAGTTATGAAGATGGAAAAAATATTAAATTTTGAATAAAGAAATGAAATTTAGTTACAATGTACTTCTAATTGCAAATGTTTAATTTTGGACATTACTTGTTTCGAAAGCATGCTTTGGATGCTGATAGTTAGAGCATTTGGATATTGATATAGTTAATTTGATCATTATTTGCTTTGAATTTTAAAATTTTAAATTTGTATTTTAATTGGAAATTAAAAAAAAAAAAGGTGGCAGGCCCGCCCTCCGCACCGCACTGAACCGAACCTCGCCCGTCTAAGGAGCGGAGATGGAGTGGCGGGGCGAAGGTGCCCCGCCTCGAACTCGCCCTGCTGCCATCTCTACCTAAAACCAACTAATTACAAAGAAAAACCCCAAATAGCCTCAAAACCCACGATTCACCCAACGAAGAAGAAGCATCTTCACCCATGCAAAGAAGAGATTCATCCACCCATTAAAGGCTCCACACATGCAACATCACCGATTATAGACTCAAATCGTGGTTGAAGAAATTAATTAATGAGGATGAAGAGAAAAATCAAGTTTTGTTGTGAGTTATAGTTCCCAAGAAATCGTGGTTGAATAAAGTGAATCAATGCTTCAGTTCCCGTGAGTTACATTCCTAAGAGATCTTCAAAATGCAAAGATTTCAATGCTACTTCTCTGCCGACGAAGCATTTGAAACACAAAGAAAAGATTGATAAAGGTTGAGAGCTTTTCCAACTATTCGCACTGGAACTTTGTTTTGAATCCTAAAATTCTAGATCATGATCGGAGAGCTGTTGGAAACATGGATTTTGGTGTTGAACTCAAGGATGAAGAATAAATTGAGGGCAATTTTGGAAATTTTGACTGTGTGTAACTACTGTTTTGTCAATTTGTTTAACTACTGGTCACCTTTTTTTGTCACTTTTTTAGTGTCACTTTCTTCTTACTTGAGATTTTATAATCCCTAAAAATATTGGTTTGAAGGGAAATCGCTAGATTATAAGGCACGAAAAAATTAGTCACTTGTAGAACTGATTTCAATATTTTAATTGATGTTTCGCACTTTTTTAAATTGTTGTCACTTTTTTGAGCTTCTGTCACTTTTTTTAATATCTGTCACTATTTTTATTTTTATTTTCTGCATTTTCTTGAAATTTTCATCACTTTTTTAAGTGACAAATATCACTTTTTAATTAAAAAAAAAAAGTAACACTTTACTTTTAAAAATGACATTTTATCCTTTTTAAACTTAATTTTACACGGTATGTCTTACTTCCAAATAAAGACCATTAATTTTAGAAGTAATTTTGTAAGTTCTGGCACAATCCAAAAAGGGTGGGCTCCAAACTGATGCAACCCATGAGGAGTTATAGTACATGGGCCTTAATATCAACCCAAGGCTCAAAATAAACTTTAGCTCAGTCTTGATTAACAATTTAACACTCATTTCCTTTACTTGAAATTTTACTTTTCTAGATATGCCACGTCGTCGGTATTTAACATAAGTTAAGCACCAATGCTTAGAAGATCATTTTTCTTGAAAAGTAAGATTTTAGCAAAAGAAAATGAAACCCAAAGAGAAGAGTAACGAATTTTGTTCATACACACATTATATCATATTCTCAAGATTTAGATTGTTTATGAAAGTTTTGTGATTTTTAAGGCCCGTTTGACAAGATTTTTGAAAAGTAAAAAGTTGCTTTATAATATATTTAGATAATTTTTTGGAAGTAGTTTGTCGGGTTAGAAGAGTTTTTAAAGGAACTTAACCTAAGATAACTTTCTTAAACAATTCTTCCACGACTACAAGCAACAGAATATAAGGCAGAAGCGTTGTCAAACATGCACTTAGTATACTATGATAATCTTTTCCTTACATCACATTTTTGTTCACGTTAAATTTGATATTTCCCTCAAACACTTAAGAATTTGGATAAATTTCAGTATTATTTTTCTAATATCCAATATTCTTTGTGAATCAAGAATTGTTTAGTTTTGTAACATTCCTATAATAACCAAACTGCTATTGTATATTTTACCTATCACCATCAACTGGAAAATCAGGTTCCACTGGCTTTTGTAACGTCCAGAGAAGGTCCAATTGTGATCCACTCCTCAGGCTGCTGGCTCTTCTATTACCATTTGCTAATCTTACAGCATACACTGCAAATTCCGACGCCCTTGGGGGCAGCGAAGAGCTTCGTCCAGTCGCTAATTCACACGCTACAGCACACTCCCGAGCCTTCAATGCAGCCGCCTCTTTCTTTCTTTTGTATCGAAACCAAGCTGCTTGTATAAAGCATGCTGCCCAAGTCCTCCATTGGTGCGAATGGAACCTGAATTTATGCTTCAGTTGCTTGCTGTGCAGCTTATGGAATTGTGATGCAACAAACTTCACATCCTCTGAAACAAGTGCAAAGGCTTCAACTTCAGTAATCGCTGTCACCGTACGTGTAGACGAAGGGAGGAGGATACTCGGGCGTGGGTAAAGAGCCCACGTGAGAAGTTCTTCACCACAAAAGTCTCCAGACCCGAGTCTACAAGAATTAAAAAATCCAGTTCGACCTCCATCAGTTGTATAAGAATCTAGGTGCCCTCGTAATATGAAGAGCATTTCAATCACAGGGTCACCCTCCCTCACTAGGCGAGTACCAGGAGTGCACAAAACAGGCTTCAATCGTTCACAGATTGCATCTAGCGTGCATTCATCCATCTCGTCAAAAAGGGGAACCTATTTGACTTATCGTACGCTCATAGTATTACATATCAGGGAATAATTTTCTAGCGAAAAAAACTATGATGCAAAAGGAAGAAAGTGAGACTCACTCGTCGAACTAGATCAAGACAAAGATGGTGCTTGATATCTCTTCGGAGGTCAAGAGGAAGACCTTTGAGAATAGCTTCCTCATCGACTCCTCTTGTTGTCACCCATGTGTACAGATCATACTTGCGTACTCTCTCCTTCAACTCATGGGGAAGCTGCCGGTGATGCATCCATTGTTCTGTATCAGTTCTTCGAACTCTCCATTCTTCAAGTCGCGAGGTAGTAGATTGGAGGTAGGTCTGTTCAATGAAAACAAGTACAAAAGCTTTCAACAACATATGTTTTTTTGCATTGCTCATAGGGAATATGCAAGTAAGCCTTGGCGCTTTGCCTTTCGCCGTTTATTTCTGGTGTAGATTTAAGGAGTATAATTGAAAACGTGATTTAATTAACTTGTCCCCTCTCAACCAGTGCAAACTTTTAGATAAGGTAATTCAACATGCTATTAGAGTAGGCAATGGTTCTAGGATCAAGTTTTGCACTTTCCCTTCCCTTTTGGTTAAGCTGTGGAATTCTTTTTTGAGTTGGGTACAATTGTGTTCTATTATTTGCTTATAAAATCGAAGAAGAGTGGGTAAGGAATCAGAGTTTTTCCTTCTCTATGTTTACTCGATATAAAGCTTTGCTTGCACTTTCTCAATAGAAAGGTTGGTATCACCAAATTTCAGCTGGCTTGACATCGTCTTTATTAGTATGTTTGTTATCTTATTTATATCATGTCTATAAAACTCCAAGATTTCAACAAAATTATGCAACATTAAATCGAGCCGCATATTTTGTTACCCATTAAAAGACGTAAGAAGTGAAGGTCAAGCCTCAAGTTTCAAGACTTACGAGTCTAGACTTGCCTAGATAAAGTCTATGCATAATAAGATGTTTTTCTGCTTTTAATATCATTTTAATTATTATAGATCAATATTTAAATAAAATAATGCATACGTGAAAATTTATAACAACTTCATACATATTTTTCAAGTTTGCAACAAACACATAATTCTCAAATTCATAAATATACCAATTTATAAATACATTATTCGTAAACAGAGAAAGCCATGTTCTTGGGTTGGATTAAAGTTGGGGTGGATTTTTTGTTGGACCCTTTTTCCTTTTTAAGTTTCAATAATGATTAAACATTTTGTTGGGCCGAACTTCAAAACAAGAAAATACTATTTTCCAACCCATAGATGCACGTCTTCTCTGTCTAGACGCGCTTTAGATTATCAATGAAGAGTTGATAGTCTTTTCTCCCGTTTAGGCATGAGGCCGGGTGTTTACCTCATTCCCCACATCTAAACGTGCTTAGACGGGACTTTTATAATAGTTAGGATAATACTGCATTGGATGTAGATCATTAGCAATTCTAATAACGTTGTGCTACTTTACAACTATAGAAAGAGGGAGAAGGCATAGCGGTAGATTCAGCATCAAAGATATTCAGAATTTCATCTTTAATGTTACTTTTTTAGTTCGAGATGGTAATAAATACAATTATTCTATCAATTTTGATATCGAAAATCAAGATAGTAGGAATAGAGG